ATAATGTTTCTTCCAACATTTAAGCTGGAGAAATAATTTAAATTGAGAGTTGCAGATCATGGAGTACCGAAGAAGATTCATTGGCTTCAAAATAAGTATTTCGTTGTCTGAAGAGTAGCTGCCAGACTTGCTGTGTTTTGCCAACATTTTCTATCGTCTGAAAATGGTGACAACACCTTCAAGGTTAGACAGAGGAGATAATGGGATTACAGCTGGGTGTTATGCACACAAATGTGAAACCCATATCTTTGCTTTCAAACTGGGGGTAGATGGTGCGAAGAATTGAAACTTGATTTACCAAATCAACCATGCAGGCACTATTGCTGAATGCATCAGTAGAGATGCAAAGTGAAAGTAGGACATAGAGGTTTGGAGGGAATCCAGCGGACTGTGGAAGAGACATACGTGAATGGAGTGGATGTCAGAAAAAAAGCCGCAGTTACAGTTCTATAAGATGTTGTCTGTGCCTTGGACCATTGCTGTATGTGGATGAAGCCCAATTGGAGGATTTTAAATAAGTTCTTCTAGCCACCGTGCTATAGGAAGGATGTTGTGAAACTTGAAAGGGTTCAGAAAAGATTTACAAGGATGTTGCCAGGGTAGGAAGGTTTGAGCTATTTTCCCTTGACCATTGGAGGTTGAGGGGTGACTTTACAGAGGTTTATAAAATCATGAGGGGCCTGGATAGAGTAAATAGATAAGGAGTCCAAAACTAGAGGACATTGTTTTAAGGTGAAAGGGCAAAGATTTAAAAGGGACCTAAAGGGCAACTTTTCACGTCAAAGGTGGTGGTATATGGAATGAGCTGCCAAAGGAAGTGGTGGAGGCTAGTACAATTACAACATTTAAAAGGCATCTGGATAAGTATATGAATAGAAAGAGTTTAGAGCACTATAGGCCAAATGTTGGCAAATGGGACTAGATTTATTTAGGATATCTGGGCAGCATGAATGGGTTAGACTGAAGGGTCTGTTTCCGTGCTGTACATCTCTATGACTCTTTGCAATTGTAATTGTAATACCCTCGTGAAAATGTTTTTGTTTTTTCACGGGATATAGGTATCACTGCTAAGATCAACATTTAGCCCATCTTAATTGTCCTTGAACTGAGTTGCTTCCTCAGCTGTGTCAGAGAGTATTTAACAGTCAACCAAACTGTTGTAGGTCTGGAATGTTAGACCAGGTAAGGGCAGCAGATTTCCATCCCTACAGGGCATTAGTTTCTTTTTTTAAGCTATCCATGATAGTTGTTATCACCATCTTTTACTGGAACTAACTTTATGTTTCAGGTTTACTAATAACTGCCCTGATGAGGTTTAATACCATTGATAAATTTAATTTTCAGCAGCTAATAATCCTGCTGCACTGCAAAACTGATGGAGCAAGGCTTCAGGAACGTCAGCCCAATTTTATGGTTGAGTGATAGATTCAGGAGTACTATTTGAGTAATTCCTGCTGTCTGATCCATAGTATGAGCGAATAGAAGTATGTCAAATGTACATTTTAATCTCTGTACTGCTAACTAATTTTCATCATTAATCAAATGCATGAAGTAATTTATTTTTAAATATTAATGTTAAAAGCCATATAAATCTTACACTGTCTTGTGAAGTGCTGTTAAGTTATGCTGGTTAATTTGCGCTCTCTATATTCATTGCACCTCGTACTAGTTAGTCATTTTCAATACTTGTTTTTTTTTCAAACTTTCAATGAAAGTTCAATTTTTTTTTAAATCACTCATGGTTTCGCTGGCTGGACCAGCATTTTTTGCCTATCCCTAGTTCCCCTTTGAGAAGGTGCTGGTGAGCTGACTTCTTGAAATGCTGCAATATATTTGCTGGCAGTATATTGACAATATCGTTAGGGAGGGAGTTCCCTAACTTTGACCCAGCAAATTGAAGAAACAGCGATTTATTTCAATTTAAGGAGCTTTGATGAATTTCTGCAGTCCATCTTGTGGATGGCATACGAAAACCGAAGTGGCTGGAGAAACTCAGCAGGTCTGGCAGCATCTGTGGGGAGAAAACAGAGTTAACATTTTGAGTCCAGTACCCTTTTTCCAGAATGAATGTCAAGAGTTGGTGGTTGGATTCTATCATTTTGGGGATGTCATTGTCTGGTGTGAATGTTACTTGACACTTGTCAAAACAAACCTGAATGTTGTACAAGTTTTGCTGCATTTATTGCACTGTACGTAGTGCAGTGAGCATCCCCATTTCTGACCTGATGGAGGGAAGGTCTTTGATGAAGCAGCTGATGGACCAAGAACACTCCCATGAGGAACTCCTGTGGTAACTGACCTCCAATAACAGCAACCATTTTCCTTTGTGGCACTTGTAGAGTTTTCACATTGATATCCATTGACTCCAGTTTTGCTAGAGTTTTAAGGTTCTTGCGAAGATTTGTAGCTCAGGTTGTGGGTGAGGTTGTCAATTTGCTCGCCGAGCTGACTGGTTATAGTTCAAACGTTTCATCACCATGCTAGGTAACATCAGTGCTGTCTCCGATGAAGCAATGTTGTTCTGCTTCACTTACTATTTATATGATCCAGTCTGTTGAGGTGTTGTGTGTCATTTCTGGTTCTTTTTTGCAAGGGTTTGTATATGGGGTCGAATTCCACATGTTTATTAATTGCATTATGGGTGGAGAACCAGGCCTCTAGGAATTCCCGTGCATGTCTGTAGTTGGCTTGGGCTAGGATGGTCAGATGAACACCAGCTAGCAGCTAAACAACACAACAAACTTTCTTTCATTTCAGTACACTTGGGCAACGAAGGCCATCAATTTAACTGGGACAACGTGACCATCCTAGCTCAAGCCACCCACAGACACACATGGGAAATCTTAGAGGCCCGGTTCTCCACCTGTAATACAATCAATAAACATGTGGAATTAGACCCCATATACAAACCCTTGTGAAAAACAACTGGAAATGACACAAAACACCTCAACAAACCGGATCATGTAAATATCCTTAGATTAAAAAAAAATCCTCAGTTCTAGATTGGAGTGTCAATATAAACTAGGTTCAAGTCTCTGGAGTGGAGCCTAACTCTCTAACTTTAAGATAACACACCATTTTCATAATTTTCTACATTTGGGCCAAACTTGGTACTTGTGGAGGTAAATAGAAGAATCATTTTTGTACTTCTTAAACAGTGAGATGACAGAATATATAACTATATTTATCAAGATGGCATTTAATTCTAGTGAAAATTAAATAAAGCATTCTATTAAGTTATGATATGCATCATAACATCTCACTCACTACATTGCTAACTATTAACCAAAATTCCCGTTATGCTTGAGCCATCCAGGGTCCAACACAAAGGTGAAAAGTTGTAGCTGTAATCTCATTTCAGGATACTGTCTACAGTTGTAAGTTACATAAGCTTTATTCCAATCATATGTGATAGTCCCGAAGCTTGTCAGTGAGGTAATCACCCTGATGAGTACTCTTTGATATCCATTATTCTCACTTTGTGATGAATAAAAATTTGTAAAGCCAAATAATAAATAACTAATGGATTTATAAAAAGCAGCATAAACAATGCAAATAGAATTGTGAACTGCAGTGAAATATGTGGCTTTATGGTCAGCCATAGGTAGGAGTTAATCAAGTGAATCTGATGCACCATATGGAAGGGCAAAGCACACAATATTAGCAAGTGATTAGCCAGGCCTCTGGATGTGCTGCGGAATAAGAAGAAGGAAGCTGATGCATTATTTATAAACTCTGCATCGTGTCATGCTGTGAAGCGACAAATTCTTTACAATGGCATACTAAAGGCAGCAATTAGCAAGAGGTGGAAGAAATGACCAAGTAAAATATATTTGAGCTAATAAGCAAAGCTGTTTGGAATTGATAGCTGTTTTACAATATGCACAGGGAGTGAATGAACGTTGCCTTCTTGCAGTTTCCTTTTTCTCCTTTCACTGTTTTCTGCCTCACTGTCCTTTTATGGCTCGTGGAGATTTCATCTGTACCATCTGATCAAGAGTACGCTCCACTGTACTATAAGAAGCAGTATGTGAACACTTTTCCAGTTTTTGAGTTATCGACTTTTTTGCTGTTTCCTGTTATCTGCTATTTATCTTGAGATCTGTCTTTCTAAAGTGTGCTAACCATTTGCATTGAATAGCTCCCCTAAAGAAATGAAAAAATATAGGTTGCAATAGGATAGAAAAGAATAAATAAATACAAAGAGAAGTAGATTTTTTTAAAAGTAAAGAGAATCACGTTTACGCAAAAAAAACCCATAGATTTTGATACGTTAGTGTGTGTTTCCCATGACACTGTCATTACCGAGTATTTTATATTTTCAGGATTTTTAAAACTTTTAACATGGGAAAACTTTTACTTTTTAATGTTGTTAATACACTGTTTTCAATCTTTTCCCTTAAGCAGTATTCTAATACACTGAATGAAATTTATTTTCTGCAAAGACTACAAAAACTAATTTGAGAAATATTGCTCCTGTTTCAAAGTTCTTTGGTGTGTGATGTAATTAGGAACTTAAGAGATGACACTGTATGTTTGAAGAAAAAACCTGCAACGATACCTAGATTTGTAATTCAGAATGCTGTCAGGACTAAAATAAAGAAATTAGAAATTCTGGAACATTGCCAGAAGTTAGGTAAATGACGCATTGGCATGGACTTATATATGTTCTTTAGCAAATAACACAGAATTATAAGATGTAACAGTTAATTTATGCACCTCAACAATCGCTACTTGTAAGTTTTTACATGTTCATCCTATTGTGAGATAAAGTAGCTTAACAATTTCTATCTGTCTTCATCTAAATAACTTTGTCAGTATGTCTTTGAGATTTAAGTATGGATATTACTGTTACATCCTGAATCTCTCTTTTACACAGAGACACAAGGGAATGTGAATCAACTACATCATGTGCTTAAAATGCTTGACTGAGATGATCATAAGAAATCTGCACAAAAACTACTTGAAGTTTTAATGTTGATGATTTATTCTTTCTGAAGCGACTACCTCGATTGATAAGTGCCTTATGATATGGAACTTGAAGCCGCAAACCAGAGCCTACCGATTTACAGGACACAAGGACGCTGTGATGTCTGTCCACTTTTCCCCCTCAGGTCATCTGGTGGCATCTGCTTCACGGGATAAAACGGTTCGACTGTGGACTCCAAATGTGTGAGTAATGCAAGTAAGCCTTGAATGTGCAAGTGTATTTTACAGGTAGCAGATATATTAATTACAGAAATGTTATAAAATAGATTTGTTTTGACATTGTAGCAAGTATAGATTGTACTGTTGCACTGAAAGGATTTAAAGACATTTGTAAGACTTTTGGTCAAACTGAAGCTACTGAATCACCTTTAGCTTTGCTGTGATTGCTCTCTCATACATGCTTTGCTTTCTCTTGTTTTTCTTTCTTTTCTCATCCACATAAAGATAGGTATTTTCTTCTGTTTCTTCTACTTTTTACTTTCATTTTATGCTGTCCTTGTCTCCTATTTCACCTCTCACCCTAACCTTCCTTAGGTTCATCTTTCATGGTTTACTCTCTTGCAATGAGGATTCAGGCTGGCAGCCAAGAATAGAATAAAAATTGGAGCATACAAGTGTGTAAGTAGCTCAAGGAACACTCAGAGCTGGGTGGATGGACAAATAGGTTCTTCACTGTAAGATTGTAGAGAGAGAGATGAGTGAGGACAGAAGCAAGGAACTGTTTAAAGATGGGTTGGTGAGCATTTAAAAGAAAATTTGATTTTTTTAATTGTCTGCTGGTTGATTCTTATAACTGTTGCCATCTTGATTTATTCACATTTAATTATTTTAATTGAAATATACTTTAGCCTGTCACTGATTTTTGCCCCCAAAGGCACACAACTTTGTGAAATATGACTCCTGTGAAGATATGTGGAGAAGGGGAGATGTCAGAGTTAGGCTCTTTACACAGAGTGGTGGGCATGTAGAATGTGCTGCCGGCAGTGGTAGTGGAGTCAGATTCTTTAGATACTTTTAAATGACTCTTGGATAGGCGCATGGAGGATAGTAAAATGTAAGGTATGCAGGGTAGTTTGATTTTAGTAGCATAACAGGTCAGCACAACATCGTGGGCCAAAGGGCCTGTACTGTGCTATACTGTTCTATATGGCACAATAGATTTGCCCTGGATACAGGACCATTGTACACAATTGGAATATGAATCAGACATGTTTAGGTACAATTCTCTAGATCCTCTCTCTGCAGTCAAGGTGATTTCATCAAATAAAATACTCTTGGCATATATTTTTCAGTCTCTAAAATTGACTGTAATGGAACTGTGAAGTATCTGTCACAATGAAATCGTCTTGGTGGGCTATTCTTGGTGGGCTATTTTCAGTGTCAATTGTGGAATGAATTAAAATGAAATATTTTAAAGAACTTGATCAGAATTTTTAAAAAAAATTCATCAATTTTTTTTTCCTTCACATTTTCCTTTTTTCTTTGGGGAGAAGAAAACAATATTATAGCGTTCTATACAACTATTTGGTAAAGTAAAAACTGAAATACCTACGGATGCTGTAAATCAGGAACAAAAACAGAAATTGTTGGAAAAACTCAGCAGGTCTGGCAACTTTAGTGAAGAAAAATCAAAGTTAACATTTCGGGTCTGGTGAGCCTTCCTCAGAAGGGCCAGAAGGTTCTGAGAAAGGGTCATCGGACCCAAAACATTAACTCTGATTTTTCTTCTCGGATTCTGCCAGACTTGCTGAACTTTTCCAGCAACTTTTGTTTTTGTATTTTGTAAGGTATTTTGTTTGCATTTAGGGTTCTAAGATCTTTTGTGTGTCCTCTTTTAAATCTTCCATATAATATGGGCTTGCCCTCCTAATATTTAGATATCTTCTAATCAACTTGTGCAAAGTTGTTATTAAAAGTCTCTGGAGCAGGTGGGACTTGAACCAAGGCTTTCTGGTAAGAAATTACCACCGAACCACAAGGGCTCTCCTAGTATCCAGTCTCGTACTTTCAATAAATTGTGAGGCCAGTACAATCTATTACTCTTAAATTCAGTCTGCTCAGCACTGTTTATTATACTGTAAGAATTCCAGGAGCGATAACTAGAATACTAAATTCATGCAATTAAATATTACAGCTATTCTAGAATATAAAACTCCATTTAGTTTCAACAAGGATGCTTTTTTGATAGTATGACCGTTTGACAACAACATTGCAGTTAAATTGTGTTCAATTGAAAATGAATTGAAGGGAGTGTTTTTTCCTAAAGCTAAAATCACAGAAGCATATTTGTCACTTTTTAGATATTGAAAATAGCATTGATGTTTAGAATTAGAATTAGAATCCCTACAGTGTGGAAACAGGCCCTTCGGCCCAACAAGTCCACACCGAACCTCAGAGCATCCCACCCAGATCCATCCCCCCATGACCCACCACCTCCCTGAACACTACAGGCAATTTAGCATGGCCAATCCGCCTAACCTGCACATCTTTGGACTGTGGGAGGAAACCGGAGCACCCGGAGAAAACCCACGCAGACACAGGGAGAATGTGCAAACTCCACACAGACAGTCGCCTGAGGCTGGAATCGAACCCACATCCCTGGCGCTGTGAGGCAGCAGTGCTAACCACTGTGCCACCGTGTCGCCCGAAATTTATTAAATTGACTTAGAGACAGCCTGTGTTATGTGCTTTGTCTGGTTTAGTAAGCACTGAAATGATTTTGCTGTCTTCTAATTAGTAAGGGAGCATCAACTACATTCACAGCCCACAGTGCCGTAGTTCGCAGTGTGAATTTCTCCTGTGATGGAAATTTCCTGGTTACAGCAGCCGACGACAAATCAATAAAGGTGTGGAACACTCATCAACAGCGGTTTCTGTTATCCTTTAAAGGACACAATAACTGGGTTCGTTCTGCCAGGTAACTTTATTTTTAGAAACAGGTAGATGAGCGAAAGTGTTAAATGTATATCACGAATCATGAATATATTGTGACTTGGGTCTTCACTGCATAATGTGCATCTAATTTGATATTGAGTGGCAGAGTTTTTGTTTCATTCATTTTATTTTGCTTCATCAAGTTAGATAAAATTTTAAATACTTGCTAAGTTTGCTGAATTCAACCAGAGGTGCAATAGGAATTGAGCTTGTGGTATACTGTGCATCAAGTTGAATTCATGGATTGAGATTGTTTTCCCATAGCCACATTTTTATTCTGTGTTCTAAGCAATAACTCATTGTTGGTACAAAAATTATGCAGACTTTGTTAAATTAATCAAATGGTTTGATTTCTAATATGCATTTGACCAATACCCTGTGTCACTTTATTGTACGATTTTCTAAATAAGTGTCACAGTTTCTAAATAAGTGTTCATACTCCAGTGTCACAAAACAAAAACAGACACAAGTGCCCTCATTTTTCAAAAAAGGAGCACAGCTAGAAAGAAGCTTAATCTTTAAACAAAGGAAAGCCATAAACATGAAAGATTATTTGTAGTGTTCACTATGCTTTAGCCCTTGTGTTCCTCACTAGTCAGAGAAATCCTCAGATACGCCAGCAAGCTTCTTTTCCAGAGACATCTAAGGGCTGATATTGTTGCTTGTGCAATTTCCTTTCCCTTCAGACTTCTACCTTTTTAACTTATTTCTTTGAAAGTCCCTTCCATAGAGGCTTTCAAATTATCCTTTCCTTCAGCTTGTGAACCTGTAATATTAGCATGACCGGACAGATCAAGAGTTCCTTCATCTTCCCTTCTTCAAAAAATGGGATAAAAGTTCAAGGAGATGGGATAGAATTAGGTTTCAGTTTCTCCTAATGTGTTATTCTGTTTGGTTTAATAGAAATCAATGAATAGAGTCAGCTGATTACATGTGGTCATGCTGTACAATGAAGGTATTGAAAGTTAACTGAGATGACCCAATGCTAAAATGCAATTTGAAATGGCAAGTTATTTTGTGGATTGCATTAACAGTGAAGCTTATCCTGAATTAAATGCAGCTTGCTATACTTTAGTTGTAATGGAAACATTATTATTATGATATTGTATATTAATGCTACAGTTGTGTTTTGGGGATTTATTTTGTACCAACCATCATCTATCTGAGCTTTGTGTGCATTGAAATCAACGTTGACTTAAATAGTTTGGTGACCTAAATCTGCAGTTGTAATGATAGCTGAACTGTCAGTGTTCCCCATTATTGTGTCTCTGAAATTGACAGCACCTCTTGCACTGTGCAGTATTGAATGATAGCCCAGATATTGCTTTCAGTCATCTGAACAATCTCAAGGCCAAGGACCAAACCTACCTCCCAGAAACAGCTGCCAAATGTGTGGCCAATGCGAGCTCATCAACCATGCAAGGTCTCTCAGAACCCATGACCAGTGTCATGGAATTTCCTAGCAGGAAAATCATACTCATTAGCGAGTGATTGCTGACAACTCTTCTCTAGAACTTTGCACTGAACAAGGTCACTGGACTTGAAATGTTACCTCTGCTTTCTCACCACAAATGGTGCCAAACCTGCTGAGTTCTTGTTTTTGTTTGAGTAAGCAAGCTATGCAGTTTGATTCCTGCTCTGTAATAATTTTGACAGGGGCTGCTAAAGTTCATATAAATGATAATATTAATCAGGTTATGCTCATTGGCAGTCTTGAGGCAGAGTGGTAATATCCCTTCCTCTGAGTGAGAGCTTTTGTTTGAGTCCCACCCCAGAAGTTGGCGATGGAAGTGTGTTCATAACTTGATTTTGAATATCAACTTATTCAACAATATGCCAGAGGCAGGTTGTGAGAACTGGAGGTATTCTTGGCCAGCCGTGTGATAGAAAGAAATTGGAGCCTTTGTCAACATGATCTGTAGCTTCAGGCTACAAATGTATGGAAGGGTTTATGCTGTCACAGTAGCTTTGATGTATTGGGTGGCTAGCACGGACCAGATTGGTGCCAGTAAAGCAAGGTTTGATCCAGGTTCTGCCTTGGGGTGGATTCAGGATCTGCTTCCTTGGCGATGCTGGTGATTGGATATTGTATCAATATGGGTTGAACTTGCCTTCAGACACAGAATTTAAGAAGACTGTTCATTGTGCAGAAGTAACTCTCGCTGAATTATCACAGAGGCTTAACTTATTTGACAAATTAAAATTTGAAATACTACTTTTTAAGAATGACTTTTGAGTCACATTTGTAATATACCTATACTGATTTGAACATTGTCCTGCTTTTTGTATTACATTGCATTGTACTTATTTTTATCAATTCTTAATCAGAATGCAATTAGATTAGTTTGAACTATACATTGTGATTTTGTTCATTACTTCAATGTTGCACCCAGGTTAGGGATGGCAGTTTAAAATTCATGCAAGGAAACTTATCATGCTTGATTTTATGTAAGGGCCCTGCTTTTAATGGTTCTTAAATTTGCTGGATTTTTGCATTTTTATAAGAGATATCCTTACTCTATTTTAAATATTTTACTGGTACCTGATCATTAGGTTCTCTCCAGATGGAAGACTTGTAGTCTCTTGTAGTGATGACAGAACTGTTAAGATCTGGGACACAGTGAGCAGAGAATGTATCAATACTTTCACTGAGCACAGAGGGTAAGTTAACATTTCTTCGTTACAAAGTGCATTAATTTTTCAATGTCTGGTTCATTAAATTGCATCATAAAATAATCTGTATGAATTTACATTGATATTCTATTCAACCTGTGATGCTACTCTTATTAGGCAAATCTGGGTAATGATACCTACTTATGATAGCTAGGTGGATTAGCCGTGGGAGGTGCAGGGTTACAGGGATAGGGTAGGGGGTGAGTCTGGGTGGGATGACCTTTGGAGAGTCAGTGTGGATTTATTGGGCCGAATGGCCTGTTTCCACACTAGGAATTCTACAATTCTATGAACTGCTGCAGTCATTCAGTTTGTATTTGGAACAGCTTGTAAATTTTAGACTTCAGATGTCACAATTGATTTTCTTTTGGTAGAATGCTTTGCATATGTAACCAAATTGTTCAGACACTCTATAGGCACAAGATTGAACTGTCTAAACATTTGAAATGATTCCATCGCTGTTTTTGCTGTAAGCCACAAGGATCTTGGTGTTTATACTGAAAAATATGATGTTTATTATAATCCAGGTTTGCCAACTTTGTGGACTTTAACCCCAGTGGTACCTGTATCGCCTCAGCAGGAACTGACAATACTGTGAAGCTTTGGGATATTCGTATAAACAAACTGCTACAACATTACCAAGGTGACTAATGAGAACTGAGTTGATACTGACATGTTTATATTAAATAAGTTACTAATTGAGTTGTAATTAATATCTGTGGGAGTATAATTTACCATAGTCAACAAACTTCAATTTTGCATGTTTGCAGCATTTTTGAGCAAATTTTATGAATGTCTATGGACAGAAAATTAAATATTAACAAAGTTGTGAATGATGAATGTTTATGGATCTGTGTTTAACACAATACCATTAGCCTTTATAGTTGCATTGTTATGTAATCTAGATATATTTTCTTATATTGAATAGCTTTCTAGTTAAGAATTTTTGGAGGTCTAGGTGTTAAGCTGAGATAATTGCATAAAATGACGTATTAAGGAAAATGGCCATGCTTGAGATTAATTGTCTACCTTCTTTGACTTCTTCAGAAGCTTGACTTATTTTCTTTCTAATAGTTACTTTGCGGCTTTTTTTCTTTAATTTACTCCTTATCTATTCTGAATTTGCTTGTCATTGCCTCCTTTACTGATCTCTGCATTCAATTTCCATAATTTAATCAAGGATTTCCATAATTTAATCAAGGATTTCCTAATTTGCAAGATATGTACAAGATTTTGCGGCAAGTTCTAAAGCTCAGCTGAAAAAGTTTAGGGCTCTTTAATTTATCAGTGGAACATGGGTGTTTTTGGCTGGCCAACGTTTATTGCCCGTCCTTAGCTGCCCTTGAACTGAGTGGCTTTCTCCGCCATTTCAGAGGGCTATTGAGAGTCAACCACATTGCTGTGGGCCTGGAGTTACACATAGGCCAGACCGGGTGAGAAGGGCAGATTTCCTTCCCTAAAGGACATTAGTGACTCAGATGGGTTTTTCTGACAATTGACAATGGTTTTGTGGTCATCAGTAGATTCTTAATTCCAGATTTTTTATAGTCAAATAATTTAAACTTTTTAAAAAGAAACTGAAGTGAGCTTTAAAGCAGCAGAGGTGAACTAAAGCGCCCCCACCCCACCCACACAAGACTGTTCTTTTTTTAGCTTGAGACTTTTGACCATTTGTACATGTATCAATTTCAAAGTGTGATTCAAAGTTTAAATTGTCTACATTATAAACAAAAATAAATTCAACCTGATGTAAACAGTATAGCATATGAAATCTGTCAAGCATTGTGGACTCTTGTAGAGAAAATGTAGGTGTTAATACCATTATTGCCACAAAACATGTCTTCAAGAGAAAAGTAAAATACCATTATTTGAAATTAGTGTTTCTCATGGGCCAAAGAATCATTAAGATATAGGGGCAAGTATGTGACAGTTGGTAAATTGAGCAACTTCACCATTCAACAAGATCAGGGCTAATGTGAATGAAGCCTGAACTCCACTTTTCTGGCCCCAAAACCCTGGACCCTCTTGTCAATCATAAGTTTGTCTATCTCAGCCTTGCTTGTACCCATTGAACTAAGCTGCCACTGCTCCCTGGGGAAAAGAATTCCAGAGACTAGCAATCCTCTTGAAAGAAGAGATTGCTCCCAATCAATCTTAAGTTAGAATCTCTTATTTTGAAACCTTATTTATTTTTATTTTCCCCTAGTTTTAGATTCCTCTTTAGAAGAAACATTTTCTGAACATCTACCCTGTCAAGCTCATTCAGAATGTTGTGTTTCAGTAATGTCATCTCTCGAACTTCTAAATTGCAATTACTCTAGGCCGATTCTGCTCACTGTCTTAGGAAAAGGAATTAAGTCCATTAAGTCTCATTTGTCATTCAATAATAATGTGGCTGATCTGAATCCTCAACTCCACATCTTGCCTTTTCCCCTAACGCCTTCATCCTTTTCCTGGTTAAAAATCTTGTCTACCTTGACCATTAAAGTATTTAACAACCCGGTTTTAACAGCCCTGTACAGTAAAACAATTCCACAGATGCCCTACCCTCTAAGAAAATAAATTCCAGCGCATTGCTGCTCTAACTGGGTGGCCCCTTACTCTGAGATTATACCCCCTGGCTCTGCCTTGCCCAAAACGAGAGATAATTTCTCTGTGTTTACCTTGTCAAGCCCCCTACAAATCTTTATATGTTTCATTATGGTCTCCTCTCATTCTTCTAAACTCCAATGAGTACATGCCCAAACTACTCGACCTCTCAGAAGAAAATCCCTCTATGCCCAGAATTAATCTAGTGAACCATCTCTAGACTGCTTCCAATGCCAGTATGTCTCCCCTTTGATAAGGGGACCAAAATTTCTTGCAGTATTCCAAGTACCATCTGACAAGTGCCTTCTATGGTTTTAGCAATACCTCCCTATTTTTATACTCCATTTCCTTTAAAATAAAGGCCAACAGTCTGCTTGCCTTCTCTATTACCGGCTGAACTTGTGTGATAGTATTTTTTTGATTCATGTACAAGTTCACCCAACTGCCTTAGTTACAACACTTAGCACTTTTTTTCCCCATTTAAATAATAATCAATACTTCTATTGTTCCTGCTAAAGTGCATAACATCACATTTTCCCACATTATTCCAGCCTCGCCGACTGCCTGTGTGGAGTTTGCACATCCTCCTCGTGTCTGCTTGGGTTTTTTCTGGGTACTCTGGTTTCCTCCCGCAGTCCAAGGATGTGCAGGTTAGGTGGATTGACCATGCCATATTGTCTATCTTGTCCAGAGATGTGCAGGTTAGATAGATTAGCCATGGGAAATGCAGGATTATGGGGATAGGGTGGAGGCGTGGGTCTACGGAGGGTTGGTGTGGACTCGATGGGCCGAATGGCCCGTTTCTCCACTGTAGGGATTCTGTCATTTGCCAAATACTAGCTCACTTAACACTCTGTATCCCCTTTTAGATTCTGTTATCCTTGCTACTTACCTCCCACCTAATTTTGTCATCTGCAAATTTTGTGATAGTACATTCATTTCCGTCATCCAGTTCATTTATATATTGTATATAATTGTGGCTCCAGCATTGTTCACTGTCACTCCATTAATTACAGATTACCAGCCTGAGATGGCCCTTTATCCCAACTCTCGGTCCTTCATCCTCCATCCATGCTTCTTGAAATACTCCCAACACAGTGACCTGTTGTCTTATTAAGTAGCCTTATGTGTGTTACCTTCTTGAAAACCTTTTGAAAATCCTCAAGCAACCCCCTTATCCCAGATAGCAGCCTAATGAACCTTCTCTGAACTGCTCCATGTATATTCCTTCTTAAATAAGGAAACCGAACTTTATTTCAGAGACAGTAGGAACTGCAGATGCTGGAGAATCTGAGATAACAAGGTGTAGAGCTGGATGAACACAGCAGGCCAAGCAGCATCAGA